ATGTTTGCCTGACCCCTGTTCTAGTTGCATCCTGGCTCAGGGGTGGAACGAGAAAGATTGGTGGAAAAGTTGTAGAGAAGGACTAGAATGTCAAAATCTGCAACAAAATCTGCCTGTGATAACTCTAGTCCCAGTACATATTGTCCTCATTCGGACATAACACTAAACTACAGTTGTAGAATTACAAGGCTGGGCAAACCTCAGGCTCATATATCTGCCTCCTCTTCCTCCGACAAGGAAGCAGATGTGCTTTCTGCAGCGCATGACTAGAGAAGAATCACTGTGCTGAAAGCGATGGTGGTAAGAAGGGCTGAGGTCTCACTTTGGTACTTGTGAGCTAAGTCGGAAGCACAGTAGCTTGTTAACTGGACACCTTTAGAATAAATTGTACACCTTTCATTCTATTATAACACGATTACTATCACGTTAACTGTGTTTATTTGTCCTGGTTTGTGATCACTGTGGTCAGCAGCGTGGCAGTCGGCGGGACATGGAGACCGTTTTTTGGACAGAGTCACGTACTAAAGAAGAGGCTTTGTACCTCTTCAAATTAATGCAACCTCAGGGTTACAACATAAAAGGAAAAGAGATTGGGAGGGAGAAAGAAAAAAACAAACCCAGACACTAGTTCTTTGATTAGAGGGTTCTTGTTACTGCCAGATGGAATTGAAAAATTTAAAGGAAAGGAGGAATAAAAAAAAAAGGCTAACAACAATTTAATGTTCACAAAAATGAGCTAGTATCACTCCAGGAAAGTCAATGGAAATACTTAGGAACCAAAAGAAGACGAAGAAGAAGAAAAAAAAAAGGGGGGCAGCCATTAGCACTGTCATTTTCTACCAAAGATGAAATAAATGAATTAACATTGAGAGCATAATCATGCACATATTTCCTCTGTTCAGTGCTGCCTTTGTTCAGTAAAGATGCACAGTTCAGCCTAAAACTGTCCCCGTTTAAAGGTAAAGGGACCCCTGACCATTAGGTCCAGTCGTGGCTTTATTGGCCGAGGGAGCCGGCATACAGCTTCCGGGTCATGTGGCCAGCATGACTAAGCCGCTTCTGGCGAACCAGAGCAGCGCACGGAAATGCCATTTACCTTTCCGCCGGAGCGGTACCTATTTATCTACTTGCACTTTGACGTGCTTTCGAACTGCTAGGTTGGCAGGAGCAGGGACTGAGCAACAGGAGCTCACCCCATTGCAGGGATTCGAACCGCCGACCTTCTGATCGGCAAGTCCTAGGCTCTGTGGTTTAACCCACAGCGCCACCCGCGTCCCCGTTTAGGTGACATTTAAAATGCTTAGAACTATGTATCTTTCCTCTTTAGAGTAGTAAGAGATGAAAGAGTCGGAAAGTGAGAGACAATTGTTCGTTTATGTTTGCGTATTTGCTAGATCGACAAACGGGTAGCTCTTTGGGTTTGTTCAGATATTTATTTGTAATGTGGAATGTGAGCTACCTTAGTTAAAATAAAGGGGTTAGGAAATATGCTGTTAATGGCATTCCCTTGAGGAAATGGCATTGGTTCGTACAGGTTAGTATTCAGAGTTGATTGCCTCAGATTCATATTATTAACCCTTTTGCATGGAAATGCTTTGGCTCTGACCTTTCGTTGGTGGATCATCTCTTTGCAGGCGATGGCTCCAAGGCCTGAACTAGCAGGAACAGACGCAAGCAAAGCCCAAGAAAATCAAGTCATGTCTGACAGAGCGATGAACAATTCAAAAGGTACATAAATAGTTACAATCCCTACTCCTATATATCCTATATTCACATTCTGTTTAGAAGCTTGCGAGTTCTATACTCAAGGATAGGTAAGAAACAGTTCTTGACTTGCTTGCTGGTTCTCTCAGGTGAAGCGGTTCCTGTAGGAAATCAGCTGGAACTTTTGCCCGCTTACTCCACCATTGCCTTGGCAGCAGAACCAGCGCCAGAATTTGACCCATGGAGTTTGCCAGAGCTCCAGAACACAGGAGTAAAGTGGTCAGGTAAGAACCTGTCGCGGATATTTATACTTTTCCACCTTTAATTTGTGTTTCCTCCATTGCAGGGGGTTAGACTGGAATGGGGTAGCCAACTCCCAAGAGACTGCGATCTACTCACAGAGTTAAAGACTGACAGTGATCTACTCTCTTTTTTGGAGTTTTTCAGTCAAAGTTTTTAATTTGGGTCAAAGTTTCTGAGCTTTTTTTAGGAAGGAAAGCCCTGTTTTCTGGGGTTCAGGGCAAAGAGCTTTTTTTAGGGGAGACAAACTTGTTGAGCTTCTTTGGGGGGAGCCAGTGATCTGCCAGTGATCTACCCCAGATGTCCAGTGATCTACTGGTAGATCACAATCTACCTGTTGGACGTGCCTGGGATCCTCCGGGACCCTTCTAACGCTATGATTTTCAAACATTAAAGGTAAAGGTAAAGGTACCCCTGCCCGTACGGGCCAGTCTTGACAGACTCTAGGGTTGTGCACCCATCTCACTCTAGAGGCCGGGGGCCAGCGCTGTCCGGAGACACTTCCGGGTCACATGGCCAGTGTGACATCGCTGCTCTGGTGAGCCAGAGCCGCACACGGAAACGCTGTTTACCTTCCCGCTAGTAAGCGGTCCCTATTTATCTACTTGCACCTGGGGGTGCTTTCGAACTGCTAGGTTGGCAGGCGCTGGGACCGAGCAGCGGGAGCGCACCCCGCCGCGGGGATTCGAACCGCCGACCTTTTGATCAGCAAGCCCTAGGCACTGAGGCTTTTACCCACAGCGCCACCCGCATTTCAAAAATTAGCTTTCTAGAAAAGGGGGCAGCAAAGCCCAGGTGGAAGTTTTTAATCATTGGCTCTGAATCTTTGTGCCTTTATTTACCTATCAGTACACGGGTGGCGCTGTGGGTTAAACCACAGAGCCTAGGACTTGCCGATCAGAAGGTCGGCGGTTCGAATCCCCGTGATGGGGTGAGCTCCCGTTGCTCGGTCCCTGCTCCTGCCAACCTAGCAGTTCGAAAGCACGCAGTACAAGTAGATAAATAAGTACCGCTCCGGCGGGAAGGTAAACGGCGTTTCCATGTGCTGCTCTGGTTCTCCAGAAGCGGCTTAGTCATGCTGGCCACATGACCCGGAAGCTGTACGCCAGCTGCCTCGGCCAATAAAGCGAGATGAGCACCGCAACCCCAGTTGTGGCCACGACTGGACCTAATGGTCAGGGGTCCCTTTACCTTTAATACCAAACTATCTGTATTCTCTGATTTGACATGCTTTGTTTTAAAAGTGGACAGCTGAGTAGGCAAAACAGAAAATCAGTGCATCTGCTAATGAAAGTTCTCCCATTGAACATGTTGCGTTTCCCATGTTATGGAAGCAGGGGAAATCTCTCAAGTTGCAACCTTCTTTTCCATTTATGTATTTAGGGTGTTCAAATGCTGTTGGGTTCTGCAACCAGGTTGTAAACAAAATTGGTATTGCCGTTGGCAAACAGATCACCTTGGACTCTAAGCTGTGTCCATTGTTGATGGTGTCAATGCTGACCTTACTTCTCAACAATTAATTCCATATCTGTTGGTTTCTGCTGGTCTAGTAATCTCTCAAAGGTGGAAGGATGCATCTTGTTATTCTAGGGAACCATGGTTTTAAAAAGGCATGTTCATTGCTGTTTCCGAAAAGCTGCCACCGCTCTCCAACTTTGCTTCTGCTTGGGCGGTCATTTGTGATTTACATGACCAAACTATCTTATGGCTGACACGTTCCCACTAAATATGTGTTTATTTGGCAACATTCATGATCATTTGA